CAAGCAAGTACCGCATGGGACTGTGTGCACTTCGGGCATGGGAAAAGGGCCAGACCAACGAGCTGAAGAAGTATAAATCAAGAGGCAGCGCCCAGCCAAGGAGGGATTCCTGCGTGAGCCATGCGGAAGCGCTGCCACAGCGACTTGTGCAAGGAGGTGTGCGGTGAGCCCGAAGACGAAGTGGGCAGAGAGACGAAGCTTAGCCGTAGCGATAGGGTAGTGGCGGCCCTAGCCTCCATAGCTGTAGTTGGAGTTCAGTGTGTGAGTGTGTGAGCGTGAACACAGTATCGCGTGTGGGATATCCAGGGTGATCCAGGGTATGCGAACAGAAGGTTGTGTGGGCGCTATGTCGCCATAGCTGTTTGAAGAGAACTCGTAACTGGGTTGCCATACCTCTGAGTACTGTGTGGGCGTATGTCGCCAGTTGCTGCGTTACTGTTTGCATGCAGGTAAATTGTGAATGAAAGTAAGTCTGATTGCAGGTATCCCTGCCATGTGGTTGGCAGGGTAGATTGCATAAAAAGAGAAAACAAAAAAAGAGAAAACAAACAAGAAGGATAGTCATTATCAAGCGGGGTGTGGCAATCCCCTTTATATATATATATATGTGTGTGTTTTTAACCCCTTTACCGGCTTCGTGTCTTTGTCTTTGAGGAGGGGTTATCTGTTGACGGCTCTCATCTGAGAGCACCAAACAAGCGCCCGGCGACAGACGAGCGGCACAGGCCTGGCAGACTACACGTCGCAGACAAGGGACCCGCCGCAGAGCACCGACACGTGGCGGACCGAAACGAGCGTCAGAGCAAGACGAGCTCAACACGTGGCAGACGAGAGACATGCACGAGACGACCACGCGGCAGATGAGGAACGCATAGGGATGACACGCGCAAGCGTGTGACACGTGGCAGACGTTTGACAGTCGGCGGGATGAGACGTGGCACGCGCCAGACACACCGCGGGTAAAGACAGGTTGAAGAGGTACGGTAATCCTTCTGTCAATGGGCCTCGCTCGACTTCTCTCCACGTGCACAAAAGACAAAAACTATGCCGGTGTGTCTTCCCAAGTTCTAGGGGAGGATTCAAGGATTCCGTCTCAGTTTGCGAACTTGGAGAGTAGTGGACCGACGCCTAATAACGTATCCATCTTCAGAGGATTGTTCACTTTTCAAGGGTATATATATATACATATATATATAGGGTTCAGCCTCCTGATGAGTCGGTGAAACTCCGACGAAACAGTTTGTCACAGCCCCTCGTTTGTTGTCCTCTTCTCTCTCTCT